ACTATACTCTGGTCCGAGCTTAATCGCGGGTAAAAAAATCCAAACGAGAGCCAGAAGGTAGATTAATGGGCTCGGTTGCGCCATTTTGAAAACCAATGGAACTTTCTCGATTGTGAACACAATAATGACAGAGATTCGCAAAAGTCTGCGATAACTTTCGCTCGACGTTTCTTTCCCCCGGATCACTCTGCGATTTGTCCGCTTTGCGGCGATCGACGCACGACTAACTAATAGAGCCGTTTCGTTTAATTCCAGGATCACGTATTTCGGGAGATTCTCTCGGCGATTCGGGCGCGCGCGCGCGCACGCGCGCGTTTAGAGAATCGGTTCGCATGAATGGCACGGTGCCATACAATGACGAATGCAATCCTTTGTGAAGTCGTTGATCCCAACACAATCGCTCCACGAACGATAGCCGTCGTGTAATCTGACGATCTCCGCTTCGAACGTGTTGAAGTTGCAAAACGGTGTTAAACGTTGTTTTGTAAGCCTGCCTATCGTTGCAGTTTCGTCATAGCTGGTACTTCGCATAAATCAAGCATGATACGTATTCCCGGATATCTATCTGTTACGAATCCATCGTGTTTTCCAGCCGGCGGTGAGGAATACAGGATGTTCCCCGAGCCTGCGCACGCACACACCACGAAACGTATTACATATCCCACTTAGCATTCAGCGAAACATAACGTTGCATGCAATCATACAAATCTGAGCTATGAGTAAGAATTGAATGCTTGATAGAAGTTAAACTATAATTTACAGCTGTCGGAGAACGATAAAAAACAAGTACAGTAATGTTCTCTCCAATTGTCCCTCAGCTTGTGAACGAAAATGGACAGTTTGGGAAGAGAAGATACGATTTTTCGAGACTCGCGACGCACGTTTTCAAAGTCGTCGATTGTCAGCAATTATAAAAACGAGCCATGAGGCTGGAATAATTGTAATCATTTCATGCAGAAATAACTCTAATATAGTGATAATAATATAATAACTGTAATATATTACTATAAATATAATAAATATTATATAAAATGATGATATAAAATAATACAAAATAATAACTATAACATAAAATAATAAATATAATAGCTATAATAACCGCAATCGAAAATAATAACAAACTATAAAAATAAGTCGCAAGGTTCGAATAATCGTATCTTCGATTCCCAAATTGTCCATTTTTGTGTATAAGCTAAGCGTCAGTTAGGAAGAACTTATTCTAATATCAAAGTCTTCTAATCATTTGCGGCAAAAATAACTCTAATATAGCGATAATTATTATATTTATTATTATATATATATAGCGAATATTATATTATATATAATAACTGCAATATGTTACTAAAAATATAATAAATATAATATAAAATAATATAAAATGATGATATATAATTATGATATAAAATAATGCTATAAAATGATATAAAATAATAACTATAGCCCATAAAATAATAAATATAATAGCTATAATACCACAATCAAAAATAACAACTATCCAAATTATCCATTTAAGTTTACAAGTTAAAGGACAATTGGAGAGAATTTACTACCACGTGATGTATATATATAACAGTGATATAATAAGAATATAATAATAATAATAATAAATATATATAATAAATATAAATTAATAAATAAGTAAATAAATAAATAGGAAGGTAATGTACCCAGTGGGACCTATTCCAAGGCCGGCGCTGGCCCCGCATCGCGACCAGGAGGAGCCGCAGCGTACAGGCGGGCCCCGGAGAAGTGTTCCACGTAAATGTCTCGACCCCATCGGAGGGTTTCCGACACAATGGGCCGGCGCATCAGAGCTGCATATCTGCCTCGATCAAGCCGGTCAACATTTGCATCCTATCTGCGTTTCCTTTGAACCTCAGATTGTTCAATAACGATATTTCATGAGTTAGTTCTTGAATTATGGCGCCAGTTCTTCAGCCTTGTTCCTAGGTCTCGACTATAATGTCACCATCATGCTAGTCATGCTAGTCAATGCAATTGCCTTACTGAAGCTGAAAAAACGCATCCAATCACACCTTTCTCGAGCTTCGCGACTCGATCCTATAATTGAGTTTTCTAGAATTCGTCGTACATTCAGGAAGCGGTCTACTTTTCTCGCCGAAGTACGTATAGTAAATTCACCCTAATTTGAGCTCAGACTTTTTTATAGGTCGTATGGCTCGTTTTTATAGGTACCGATTGTCATTATTGGTACCGCAAGGCTCCATTAATCGAAGCCCCTATTCCCAAATTGTCCATTTTTGTTTCCAAGTCAATTAGGGTCAATTAGGGTCAATTAAAGAGAATTTACTGGATTTCGGTTTCCGCGATCGTACTATTTCCATGTCGAAATAATCTTCTCAATTGAAACCAACCGAAATTTTTCTTCCCGTATCAACGAAGTGTTGGGGACTGTTGATTACTAAGAACAGAATTTCTTTGTCTCTCATGGAATAGTCTTCTTACATATGTCCGTGAAGAGTATTTCAGGGCGGTAGTCTATATGCTCCGAAGGAAGTACGATGACGTCGAAAAGAAGTCGCATTTCCGGTAGCGAGAAAACGTTGCATCGTTTTCGATCGGTGCAATGCCTCTTTGTGAGAGGGTTTATTGAATATCCCGACATAAAGCGATCGGAATTTTTCTGTTTTTATAGAGCCGGTGGTAAACGACGCCATATTGGATTTGCAAGAAGCTGTCGATCTTCGGCAACAGACCCTGGTCGACAATGGGGGTCGCAAACAGCGTAATTCTTCTTGTACTTGAACTTGGTGTGATTCGGCCAAGGTAGTACTGCAGACAAACCATGGACGGTTTGTAGTAACAGGCCAGCGTGTAATCGTAATCCAACTCGTATATCTGCATCTCCTTCAAGCTTCAGCTCGTTGCAAGTAAACGCTCTCTTCATATTCGCGTCTTGGGGAAGCTTCTCGGATTTATATTTGACCTGGTGGGATATGGGACCATGGTGGAGACCGCGGACACCGAGGGCCCCGAGAAGAAATATACACTATTTATTATTATTATTATTATTATTATTACATTATATCACTGTTATATATATATAATAATATAAAATAATAAATATAATAGCTATAATACCACAATCAAAAATAACGACTATCCAAATTATCCATTTAAGTTTACAAGTCAAAGGACAATTAGAGAGAATTTACTACCATGTGTTACTACCATATATATATAACACATGGTAGTAAATTCTCTCCAATTGTCCTTTAACTTGTAAACTTAAATGGATAATTTGGATAGTTNTACAATACTTGTTTTATTGTTATATACCGTTCCTCGACCTCATGGCTAAGAGTGTATACCACTCTTCAGCCTCATGGCTAAGATCATAGTGTACATTTCTTCTCAGCCTCATGGCTAAGATAATATGGTATATATCGCTTCTCAGTTTCATGGCTGAGATCATAGCGCATATACCTCTTCTCAGCCTCATGGCTAAGATCATAGTGTATGTATGCTGCTTCTCAACCTCAAGATCAAAGTGTATACCATTTCTCAGTCTCATGACTAAGATGAAAGTATTTACCGCTTCTGAGCCTCATGGCTAAGATCATAAATGATATAAAATAATAACTATAGCCCATAAAATAATAAATATAATAGCTATAATACCACAATCAAAAATAACGACTATCCAAATTATCCATTTAAGTTTACAAGTCAAAGGACAATTAGAGAGAATTTACTACCATGTGTTACTACCATATATATATAACACATGGTAGTAAATTCTCTCCAATTGTCCTTTAACTTGTAAACTTAAATGGATAATTTGGATAGTTGTTATTTTTGATTGTGGTATTATAGCTATTATATTTATTATTTTATGTGTTATAGTTATTATTTTATATCATTTATGATCTTAGCCATGAGGCTCAGAAGCGGTAAATACTTTCATCTTAGTCATGAGACTGAGAAATGGTATACACTTTGATCTTGAGGTTGAGAAGCAGCATACATACACTATGATCTTAGCCATGAGGCTGAGAAGAGGTATATGCGCTATGATCTCAGCCATGAAACTGAGAAGCGATATATACCATATTATCTTAGCCATGAGGCTGAGAAGAAATGTACACTATGATCTTAGCCATGAGGCTGAAGAGTGGTATACACTCTTAGCCATGAGGTCGAGGAACGGTATATAACAATAAAACAAGTATTGTAACAAAAGTCATTAAGGAAAGACTCGATACATATACCATAATTGCTATAATTCTTCTATTCAGATGCTGTGATGATGTGCTTATCTATTGCCATGTGCTGCTATTAATATATTTTCTAATATCTAGCAGCTCTTTTTATAGAGATTAATCTTATGAAATATTACTCAAAGTTGCATCCACAAATCAATAATCCATATTTCAAAATAAAACATTCTCTTTCTCAGCTTGCACATAACTGTTCAGTTGTGCCAAATTAAATAGTATTTTTCGGACACATCAAATTCCGTTTTATTTGTATGTCAAGGGGTTAATCGTGCATCGTCGAGCCAAATGTCCGTTACACCTGTACTCGAGTTCGTATTCTTCGTTGTATTCCAACATTTCCAATGGAGTTCTGCGTTTTAGTCGTTCTCGAAATCCTACAAAAGATTAGGACCAAAGAAATCCGTCGAAATATCAGCTTGTAGACTATTCGAATGAAAGAACATGTCGCTGATGATAATAATCCTCTATTTAAATTCACGCATGATTCGTGAATTTGGCCGTCAGATGGCTACACTTCTCGCCAGCAGAATCGAACACGAATATGATTCACTATTCGCCCGTTAGAGGGCTGCGATTCTCGCCAGCGAAGTGAACACGACGATGATTCGCCGTTCGGCCGTCAGGTGGCTGCCCGAATTCTCGCCGGGAAAATTCGGTGGAATATTGTTCGTCTTCTAGCCGGTAGATGGCTACATTTCCCGCTGATAATATTTACACCGAATCTAAGTCGCTATTCGACCGTTAGATGGCTCCGATTCCCGCTCGTGAAATTTCTTCGGGAACACGTTTGGGCACACAACGGAACGAGCATTGTGACGCTGGGATGCACCTTTAGGTTGTAGAGATTATTTTAATCTCCGTAGCGAATGCTAACTTTAATCATTGTTACAGATTATTGCAGTCTGTTTCCTTGTTGTCGAAGTTTCTGTTGCTTTGACGTTGCTGTGTGTTTACACATATTCGATATCGACGAATCCCCATGCGAAACCAACACCACTGTTGTGGTGTTGGCGAAATCTCACACCGCTTGTTAGGCCGGTGTCGGATTACAATTGGATTCTCGTTACATATTGCAGGAGGAAATAAATCACGCATCGCCGTTGCGCGTTCACTGCGAGGCCATTTTTACAACACTTGCGGGCACCAACTTACCGATACATGCGCAGTGGAAACTCGTTAACAATAGAACACCTGAAGTTTCGCTTCTGCGGAGATGCGCATGATAAATACCGAACAGTTTGATCATGATCGGTCCGAATGAAATCGTCGGCTACGGTCTCTACGCTGTAGTATTACAATACCGATTTCATGTATCCCTTGAGACGTAATCGACAGCGTAACCTTTTCGTATGATCGCATGGAGCTTACGTCTGCACGACACTGAAGCGAAATAGTGCCATTTACGCGGGTGCTGGCGACGCTGCCGTGTTTCGATCGGTTCGGTTCGAATTCATTGAGCATGGAGATCGTACTGTTCGACAATAACAGATTCATTACCACTGTTCAACATTTTCCGGCGTTATGGGATAAGAGTGATCGTGATTACGCGGACAGGGGGAAAAAGGAGAACGCTTGGAGGAAGGTGATGATTGCGATCTACGGAGAGGAGAATATAAACAAATGGGACAAAGATAAACAAAATGAAACTGGTTAGTGATTTTGTTATAAAATCGTGATTTTCCCGTAATTTATGCAGAACGTGTGTGATAAATAGTAGTAAGCTATGCTATTCTTTGATCGCACATCGAAAAATCGTAATACGTATATACTGGTGGTTGATATTATGTTCTTTCTGGCATCGATTTTGTTATTACATTGTACGAGAATACATTGTCTTCGAATTGTTGCAGGAAAAGATTTACAGAAACGCTGGAAGAACCTCCGTAATTCATTTGCCAGAGAGTTGGCAAAAAGAAAACATTGCAAACCTGGATCAGGCAAGACATGGAAAACTTATATGTATTTTGAGCAGATGTCATTTTTAATGCCATCCATGTCTCATGCAGAGTATGTGCAATTTTTAATGTAATTTTGAAAATTATTTATCGGGCCCACTTAATGTTTTATAGGTCAAGTGCCAGTTTCAGCCACATCGGAGAGGATGAGATTGAAATTGACGAGTCTATCGAGGCGACAGAGGTACCTTTATCTGTTTTGTTGACTACACCTCCAGCCGAGGAATCGAGTACAATTTTTGGGAAGAGAAAAGCAACTAATTCTGAGAATGATTTAGCAACTATTCTAGCCAAAAATCTGAAGTGTATGCAAGAGAATGGGGAGGTTGTAGGAAATGATCCAGACAGACTTTTTTTGCTTTCGCTTCTCCATGACTTCAAAATGATCCCAAATTCACGGAAAGCCAATGTGAAGATTGCTATGATTAATGCCATTGCAAATGGTTTATACGCACAGCAGCCTCCTCATCTTTCTCATACACCACCTTCTCATTATCCGCCAAATATCCCTTGTAATGGTATGCAACCAATACATTCTGCTATTTCCCCGATACCATCTCATTTAAATCCTAATCACCCACGTACTGTTATTTCTTCACCTACATCTAATGCCGCACCAAATACTTCTAGTCCTTTCTCTGATTGTGATTCCCAAAGTTCCACAGCATCAGATACAAGTATATTTAAATTATATTAATTTTGGTTTTCTTTCTTACTTTAATAAAAAAATCTGTATACCCGCAACTGATCATTTTAATTAAACATTTCATATTCTTACCCCTGTGTTAATAACAATCTCTCTGTGAATTTTAAACAACAATCTTTGTCGAGAAATGAATAGTCGAAATGAAATATCGAAATAGAATTCGCGTGATTTATTCATTTGTATTTGAAAAACACGGTAGTGATTCGTTATATGACCGTTAGATGGCTACAATTCTAGCTCGTTATGTCACAGTTAGATGGCCACCCGCTAGTAACATTAAAAATTTGATATGAACACAATAACCTAAATAAAAACAGTTTTAAAAATATGTTACAAGATGATTTATAAAAAATAATTGACATTTTATTCAAACGAAATACACGATCGTTGATGTGTATTGAAAATAAGTTTCACGGCCCATTGAAATAAATTAATGATTAGTTGAGCGTCAACAACTATTCGTAATAATAATTGAGGTATATGGTTATTAATATTGATTGTCTGCTGACTAAAATTAAAACTGATTAAAAGCATTTCTTCATATAGCTGGACAACTACGACCTGTTTTATATGTAGCGCAGCCAATATATTATTTAATTAATTAACATTGAATATGTATTATTTAATAAATAAACTACTATACAAGAAGCAAGTAAAATAGTAAAGTGCTACCGCGTGTCGGGAATGTCTCGCACGTCGACCGCTAGGCGGCTCCGAACTCGAGCGACTTCTCGCTGCTGAAAGTGTACAGTAGAGAGTATAAGAAATCCATTTTCACCTCAAACAGTATCGCTTCTCGGCCTCATGGCTAAGATCAAAGTGTAGTATCTGTTCTTATCAGCTTAATATCTGATACACTCCTCATCGAGGAGTCAGAATATTAACCTGATTTTTGGAATCCGACGGAGCGGTCGGGGCTCGCTCCCCCTCTGTCACGGGTCGGCCTGGCATTGCAGTGCCGCTAGGAATGGCCCAATTAGTTATTTGAAAATTAAGTCGTTCAATAAATCTCTATAATTTACTCATTGAGTTTTAAAGAATTCTTGTGTGAGTCTTTGAATTAAGTCTTCTGACTCTCTTCTTCTTTAAGTCTTCGTTGAACTGTTAGAAGTGCAGATCCCAACTGTCGTATGTCACGTTCGCTCTCGCCTCGCTCCTTCGATCCGACGGTGCCGATGTATCTCCGTCGCACCGTGACTTATTTTACAGGCATCTCAATCGCGCCTCGTTTGTTTCGTTCGAGCGTCTTCCGGTACAAATCATCTCTACACGAATATTGTAAAACTGGGCGGTCTCCGCTGTTAATTTATTGTTAACAGCGGAGACTGATGGAACAGACAAAGTAAAAAAAGGTGAATCCTATCTTTGTAGCGAGAGCTATTGTTTTAGACACAGGTGTGCCGCCAGAAGTCAAAATACCCCTGACTCTTCAGCTGGAAATCTTGGCTTCAGATGTCTGCCTGATTTTCATGGAAACGTTTTCTTGAAATCAAATTTTTACGTGTGTCTTTCAATAAATTGTGTTTTTGTTTCCTTGATCTTGTTCGATTTGTGAACATTAAACGCTTCGGGCATATTCGACAATGATCGGTACGTCTCGGTTCAATTCAAACAGTCGGGCGTCGGCTCGTGATCAACTACATGCGTCGGGATGTGTACATGCGACGACTTTATGTTTACGTTTACAAAGAAATGGGTCAACCCAACTTTTCGTGGAACGAGTACTTGTAGTAAAAACTCTGTGTATTTTTACAGACAGTGAATGATCGCTATATCGTCACAAAATAGAACGTTGTATGGAAAGTTTGATAACAGTGTTTGCAACTTAACCTGTTTCGACGCAGAGTGAGTCAAATACGTTTCGAAATATCGTTTTGATTGAACGTGTCACCCACTGCATAATATAACAAGGATTAATTAATGAAACGTATAGGAAAGCAGAAACATTATAGAGCTCTGAACAACTTACAAGATACTCGTCGTACTTGGACGAGCTGTGTTATTGACGTATTGAAAGAATGAATTACGGGAAGAAATCTCCAAGCATGGGCACGCCTTCAGTATACTCGCATGTTACCACGCGTAGCAGTGCAAATTTAAGATCTTCGCGATCAGTACGCAGTGTCAAAACAACGCCATGGTATCAAAAACCAATATTAACACATGCTTATGTTCTTGACATCCAAAGAGGTGCCTTGTTTACTGGAATATTTTCATTGGTATGTATTACGTTCCGTTATTATCTAATATTAAATATTAAATATATCTAATATTAAATATAATATAAATATAAATTTGCAAACGTATTTGCTCTTAATAAATGCTTATCTTCAGGTCTTAGCCATTTTCACTGTCAGCACGGCGATATTCGACCTTTATTGTCTATCTCAAGCTGCTCCAGGTTCAACGCATTATGGATACTACATGATATCGTATGAATTTGTATATGTAGGCAATCAACATGGTAAGAATAGTACATAATTTAAACGTTTCGTAAAATAAGCGATAAAGTATAAATCTACAAAAAACTTATCTTTCCTCTTGTTTCAGTTCGCAACGCTCTCGTAGTGTTTGCTCTGTTCTCCATGCTTGGTGGGATAGTAGTTTTTGTAACATCCTTAATATTAATAACTGCTTTACGAAAGGAATACGAGAAGAAAATGGTGCCTTGGTTGTACAGTTTTGCTGCGTTCAGTACTTTTAGACTGTTTGCTTTTGTATTCTTCAGTACAGTAAATGACATGATATTTGCTTACAACATCATGATGTGCCTTCTGTGGTCTATATTTACTTGTATCTCCATCTATGGATGGTTAATAGTGTACTCTTTGTACATCGAGTTGAGCGATCTCACAAGATTGGAAGATCTTGCACATTTGAGAGTAAGTTTCCTATCGAACCCTCTCCCATATTACGAAATGAATTAATTTAATGCCTGTCATAAGTACTGCTTTGTTTACACTTCGATGCAAATTATATAATAAATCTTAATTTTCAGATTGGTACCATGCAATCACTGAACGCATCTACCACACAGTCCATTGCTGGTTCTCGACCAACAACACCTCACAGCGCGGTATCAACAATGCCCGCAAATTAAATGGAAAGATTTCAATCTCCGTTATTATTTATCTGCGGAAAAGACTCTAGATATTCGTTGCGGAAGTAGGAGATCAAGCGCAAACTAAAACGTATCGAGAGTAATGTTGGAACGATATGGTCCTGTGATGTTCAGACCCAAGTTCCGTGTCTTAGGCTGCTCGCTTCCCTAGCTTCTGCCGTCAATGTGGCAGCTGTCGGTTATTACCACATTAAAAGGTAACAATCCAATGTGAAGGTGCCTTTGTCATTTAAAGCGATATTGATGAAGAACGTGCCACGTAAAGCGCGGCACATTTGCTAGTATTACGATACTGCCTTAGCGCGATGCGCATTCAATTCAATCCGTCCATTTTTATTGAAGTCCGTCCAAAGTAAGTTGAGGCGTAATCATGTTTTACACGATTTATGTCATACAACGAAAGTAATGGCGAACAGTATGTATCTCCGTTGTAAAGATTAAGATATTGTAGAGAAACAGATATTAGATTATTATTGTATTGTTAATTCTTGTATACATAATATAATGATTTCTATTATATCTTTTTTTATTGAATAAATCTGCTTATCCGTATGAATTGTCGTATTCCAATTCTTTCATTTCACTCGTGTTATTTGAAATCATGCAACAGGCCAAACATATTGGAGTAACATATTAATATTTCAAAAAACGTAATCAGATGAATATGTTCGAAACATTTACATCGCGGGTGCACTTTAAATTCAGGTGGTTGGTCCATCGGTTTGGGGAGTATTATAACTGGCAATAGTTTCCTCTGATGAGTATGTCATTAAATAGGATATATATTTTGCTGTATGTCCAAGTATCGCTAGCATGAATATACCGATCGCTATGAGTATGTGCCAAAGTATCCCAAAAGTGCCAGTTACTATATACAAGACGATGGCAAGACACATTTTTCAAGATCTCAAGGAGACGCTGGACATTTTGCACAATCAAAATATTTATAAAAGAGTCATTGACAATTGATTTTCAAGTTTTAATCGATGTTAGAAATGAATCGAGGATAGGCAAGTTCAAAGGATATGATCGAAAACAGAAGGATTTTCACATAAATTCAATGGTTAAAGAATATTCTGAGGGCACAGAAATGTTCAGAAGACTCTTCTGCATCTATATCATGCAAATAAATTTATTTATTATGGCAAATGTACAGAACAGATGATTTTTGCCAATTTCTCCGTAAGATGAAATCTACATAATATCCAGCACAAAATGTGTTCAAAATAGCCAAAAAANGGCACAGAAATGTTCTGAAGACTCTTCTGCATCTATATCATGCAAATAAATTTACTTATTATGGCAAATGTACAGAACAGATGATTTTTGTCACTAAAATGTACATAATATCCAGCACAAAATGTGTTCAAAATAGCCAAAAAATAGTGACGTCATTTGTTTGAGAATCAAAATTATCATCCGTAGATAGCTCGAGCGTTTTGTCACTACGTGTAATGGCGCTACTTTTATATTCTAATGGAATGAGCAAGCATCGTTATCTAGCGAAGAAAAGGGAAACTAAATTGTTGAACAGTTTGAGCGTTTTGCCACTACGTGTAATGGCGCTATTCTTATATTTTCAAGATTAGATGATTCGTGCCGGACTGTCCATTGTACCTTATGACAAAAGCAGCAAGCTTTATTTGCAATAACATATAAACCTTTTTTACATAATGTAAATGCAGAAAAATCTCCTGCACATTTCTACATCCTCAGGATTTTTTCTGAATCCCTCAATTAGTAGATATCAGGCCATTTTTAAAGACATGTATTCATCATACATACAGAGATTTTAAGCAACGGCAAATGGCAGGTTGAAAGCAACCAGAGATCGCAGGTGAGACTAATGATTTATTCAAAATTTTTACTCGAAATTTATACTTATATAAATTTTGTCGTTGATGTCATATGTTGCAAATTTTTCTTGCAGAATTAGTACCATCAGACGCCTTATTTACATTTCTCAACAAATTAATGAACAGGATTTACAATATAATGATGATACAATTCAAAAGAATTCCAGGTACAAAGCCTGGCGAAACTGTGAAAAATTGTAACCTTGAAACGAGAGGCCTACGTGATGAAAACAAGTGCGATCCAGGCATGATCGACGATACGCCATAAACAAAATTCCTAAGCGCGGAGCGCCAGCAAAGAACACAGAAACGTAGCGCGATCAATCAAATGAAAATTCCTTGCTACGACAATTATTCGCACGAACAAATGCAAAAATAAATCAGCCAAGAATTAATCACCCAGCCCAAGAAGACGAAACGGTTCATTCTTCCATTCAAGACTGAAAAACAACCCGGCTTCCGGCTTTAATCTGGTTAACGGACGTTAAACAAAATTACAATTTCCGAGGAATTCGACATGCGAATTACCGCAGGAATAACACAGGGAAAACGGTACGGAACTCGTCCGTATAAAAAAAATACAAATATAATAAACGCCACGTGGAGACAAATATGCAGGAAACAGTATAGCTTAGTCAAAAAGACAAAGCAAAAACCAAAAGGTGTAGGAGAGCTACTAGGAAAGACTTTCAATGGAGAAGGAGAAAGGAAGTTGCAGAAGCGACAAAAGCCGCAATTTGCAAACGAACGAATAAAAAACGGTTAACGCAACGCGTGCGATAAAAGATACCGGACACATTGTGATTTAGCAAAAACGCAGATCCCATGCGATCAGCTTTTAGGAAAAAGATCGCAGGATATTTTCAATGAACACAAAAAACTCGGAGATAGAATCGTAAGCGAATTGACTCGCGCGAGAATGTACAGAGTGCTGGGACTCGAAATTTTAACCAAAGCGAAAACGATCGTACGAGTAAGCGATCTAAACACAACTGGCGAACAAAGTTGTGCGGTGAACAGCTTCGAATTATGGCGCATGCGCACCCGCTAGCAGGAAAGGGGTATCAGTCCCCCTGCCCTGCGGGGTCAGTACACTCTCTCTACAGCCGCCATCTGCTTCTATTTAATATCTATTTGATATCTCTCTCTCTCTACTATCTATTTTATATTTTATTTTATATCTACTATATACTTATACTATCTTATATCTTATACTTATACTTATATATTATTATTATTATTATTATTATACTTATATATTATACTTATACTATCTTTATATCTACTATCTACATTTTATTTTATATCTACCTTCAACCTTTCTTTTGAAAATCATTTATGAAGGAGTACACATGGCGGACTGCAGTGACCTGCACGCCTCTATCGGCAAATATTACAACTAGCGTTGTTCCTTCATAGTTAAGTTTCATATTTCATGGTTAACATTTTTATTATATTAATAAATTTATTTATAGTTAAATTTTATATCTATCTCATGTTTCTTGCTATTGGATTTTCGTTGTTGTACATTGGTTTTATTACAAAATATATTGATTAATAAGCTAGTTTAGATATTGTTACTCCTATTGTTACATCCTTTACTCCTGCCACTTGGTTTGCTACTGGGATGTTATTCGCTCTGTCAATATATTGAACTGACCACACATATTTACATCTGCTACGCTCTCTCCTGATGTTAATTTTTAAACATTATCTACTCAAATGCGAACCTATTCTACTTGCCTTGCCAAACATAAATTTACCAGACTGCAAAAGGTTCTGAGATATCGGTAACGGCGAATGTGACACGAAAATAGTATGTAATGGCATCCTAATCAATCCTAATGCTCGATTTTCGTGGGACAGAAAAATGGATCGAGTGCTCGGTCTACTGCTATACACTGTTTGTGGTATAATTGCAAGCTCACATTGGTTGCATCACCAACTATGTACCAAGTCGAAGTGCAGTTTACAATGCCATTTAGTACCATTTAGTATACGTTATTTGTTCAACTCGTGTGATATGTATAAGACAGACATATATTACCATGAAACTAGTGCAAACCAATAATTTTGTAACTGATAAATTATTCTCGTGAATTCGATTAGGTCGTATCTTTTTGTACGGGGAACAACGTGAAATTTTGATGAGATGATATAGTAAAACCGCTGCTAAAACGAAGCTTTTGTAATTATTCTAATGTAACTATATAGGACTTATTACTAAGGATCCACAACATTCACAATGTTTTCAATAATTATTCTATGACTTTGGTGACAAATAGAGTGTTTGATAATATTCTCATTCGTATCTATGTATTATGATATTGTCGATTATCTTACGCTTGTCAAAAATATGGCGAAATTGAAATATACAATTTGGGGTCTCTCCTCTAACTTCGTCGCAAATCGATATTTTTCACGTTTATTGACGTAAGTAAATTTTCATTTACATACTCAGTCGCAATTTTTTCTATGCAGTTTCAATTGGTACAGTAAGAAACTATGCCAGCATTTTGGATGACTATTCCTGGTTTTAATTGCAGAATACGTATTATTAAACGTTTAATTTGAATCTATTAAATGTTTTATAACAACTGTGATCCTATATTGTTAATAGATTAATCAGAAATAATTTTTGTTATCAGGTCACCATGGTACAATGTAGCTACAGCTTCGTCGAAAGAAATGTCCACTGCGGCTGCTGTTAAACCAAAAAATGGCATCATCATTACTGACAGTTGTGTCAGACGTTTAAAAGAAATTACAGATGACAATGCGTACTTAAGAGTAACAGTAGAAGGCGGAGGTTGTTCAGGTTTCCAATATAAATTTGACTTGGATACAAATATAAATGAAGATGATAAGTAAGATTGTAGAAAAGAAAGAGTAAAGTTTCTCTAATATTATATCTTTGTTGTTGATGTCATTAGGTAATATTTTGCAGGATATTCCAAAAGGACGGTGCCAAAGTGGTTATAGACGAAACATCTTTAGAATATATTAAAGGAGCAACAATAGAATATCATGCAGAATTGATACGCTCTGCGTTTAGGATAACGAACAATCCTTTAGCAGAGCAAGGTTGTAGTTGTGGAGCCAGTTTTTCTATAAAAGTTTAATGGTTCCTTTGCACATAGAATATTGAAATTTAGATGAAAAGTATTTTATCTGCATTGTATTTATTAATTCTTTGATCTAATAATGGTTGAAATTGTTAATCCTGGTACTAGAGAAGCGTTTTCTCTTCTTCGTACGATCACAATTGTTAGACACAATATTTAAGAATATCGTTATGTATATGCTTATACATTTTTATTTTATAACAAGTAAAATACAAACAGAAGCTTTAATTCAGAGTATAGAGGAACAAATTGTTCGGTTAACATTGTAATAAACTCATTGTAAATATGTGTAAATGTTAATACCATATATTTTATGATTCTATGTAAAATGTAGGTTCTTGTATTATAAGTGTTCAAGAAACGAACATCAAGAATAATTTTTCTTTGAATTTTTTAAATTATGTAACACTGACTTCAGATATTAACGAGGACAGGATCAAAATTCTTAATTATAGTTTTATAGGTACATCGTATTTCGGTGAAATTAAAATTACCAACGATTCTGATTACTTTCTGTCGCTGATGGAATGTCAATAACAGTTAATTTGCAATCTAACTCATATCACTTCTGTTTTCCTTTTTTATTGTTCTGAAAATTATGAAATCACGTACAGAATACTGAAAACAATGTTTCCATTTGTCAACGAACGTTTACCTTGTTTGTAAGTTCAAACTTGAGTTGTTGTATTTCTTCTGTTTGAGAAATCAGTTTCTCGTTCATGTTTGCTAAATGCTCGCTCATAGAAATGAGTTGAGCTTTGTAATTTCCTTCCTGTATTTCTTTATCTTTCTGCAAACTATTACAATTTGCAAATGCTTCCGCGAGTGCAGACTCGCATTGCTTTCTTTTTGATTCACTCGTTTCTAAGTGAACTTGCATAACTTCACCCTGAAAATGTATTTTTGAAATAAAACATTTAGTTACGTTTTCAATGCGATCGCATTGCAGAAAAAGATATAAGAAGATTAAGTTAATTACATTAGCAGCCATAGCTAAATTTTTAACATGATAAACATTCTTCTCCGTGATTAATTTGTCGATCTCTTGTAGAAAATACTCTCTTATTTTAGCTTCTCGAGCTTCTATCTCTTCCGGTATCTGAAAAGGTACCGTTAATCTACCAATCTGTTGGGAAAATTCGTTGAATTAGCGTATGATGCAAAGGAAAAAATTCTATGCAGAGAAGAATGCAAACGTTACCATATGATTTATCTTTGCTGGCTGCAAGGTTTCGTTTTCTACTTGTTCGTCGCTTATATACTCTTTTTGATCGATTTCATCGTACTTTACTTTTAGTATATGATACTGAGCTTTCCAATAGTTTATTTGCTTTTCCAAGTCGCACGATTTGGAAAAATCAAAATCATTACTATCATCTTGCAACTTGGGAGGCCTGCCCTCGCCAGTTGATTTCGACGATCTACGCGAAGCCAATGGAGATGGAATTGGAGATGACTCTATTTGTCGATGATTAGAAAGTCCTATCCTGGTATCCAACTCGTATCCATCTCGTTTACCTTCATTGCTAGACCATGACACAGTCTCTTCTTGCTTTTGCTTCTCGTTTAACTTTCTTTGTATATCATTTCTTTCTATTTCTAACTTATCTATTGTACTTTGATACCGACATTCTAATTCAACCTTAGATTTCTCACACTGATCTAACTTATATTCCAATTGCTGTATCCTCTTACTCAAGCATTCAATTTCGCTATCTTTATCACTGATTTGAGATAATAATTGAGCATTCTCTACTATTTTCTTTTGAAACTCTTCGTCTAAGATATGATTCGGTGGTGTTGGTATTTGGCTCTTGCTGTCCGATACTTTGTTCTTTCCTTTCTTGGACTTGTTCTGCGCTTTGTCCAGCTCCTCCTGCAGTACAGTTATACGTTTCGTTAATTGTTGATTGCGAAATGATAAACTATCTAATTCTTGATCAGCCCTCCGAAGTTCAACTTCTTTCTCCTTTAATTGTTCTCGAATGTCCGCATTACGCGTTTGTTCGTCAATCACAGCCTTTTTTAGAACATTTGCTTGAGCACGAATCTGAAATGATAAGATCTCCTTATAATTATGAAGTATAGAACAAATGTTAGGAAATACGAAGGGACTAAATAAATGCTTGGCAACTGTTCAAGTAACAAGTACAAACTTCGACTTTCTTACTTTTGAGTATTCTGTGGCAATTTTTTTGTATTTGGTCTGCAGTTGTCCGTTAACAGCCTCCATAACGTGCTCCGCTCCTTTCTTCTACCCCCTAACGCGTTTTTACAACCTTGAATGATGGTCATTAAAATCTAGTCATTGTTGTAATATTTGTCGTAGCACAGTGTTTCTCGACAGGAAATATACATACATGCTACACAGCCACAGCGCCGCGAACACAAATGTCAAACGTCAATGAGACATAGATGAAGCCCAGCAGCGCATTATGTTTATACAAGGAGAACCCATATGTTTGCACGTTAAACTTCCACCAAAGTTTAGCAAACGAACAACATATACGAACAAAACGCCCACAATACGATATATATGTTTCTACCAGCAAATTTGATCGTATATATATTCAGTGTTAACCAATCGTCGATTGTGAAGGTATCTCATCGAAGAGAAGTTGGTTGTTCGTCGTTGTTCGAATCGAACAATTTCGATTGATCTAAGTTGGAGACTCGTGGCGCCATTCTTGGTGAAACGCTGAAACTGCTAGCCAAATTACCAACAGACGATTTTGGCTAACAGTTTGAGCATTTTACCGCTGCATGAATTGGCGCTATTCAGACGTTTGAAGAGAGCAGATAATTCGTGCCGGTTTTTCCATTGCCGTCTATAGAAAAAACGGCACGAATCATTTGCTGAAAAATTCAATATTGGAACATAAAGTTGAAAATCGTTTGTAACTAATTGTTTACAACTCGAACGTGTGAAAAATTATTGTAGGCATGTTTCTAGGGATTCCCGCAGAGTTTTCTAATCGTAAAAGTGAAAAGAAATTCGAAATCACGTTGAAAAATCGATAAGTCGGGAGCAGTGACTCGGAGAATAAAATTCACTCGATCTCAAAGGATTACATTTCGAATCGATTTTAGGGGGGGGGGGGTTTATTTTTTATTTTAGGGGTTCGAGGGGGCACGAAATAAAGCTGGAGGAATGCACTCTTTATCGGATTTCAAAGTAGAATGAATAAAATTTTTGCTTTATTTATAATTCAACAATTCCTTCAGCAGTCGATGTTGCGATCGTCTGTTGTTTTGTGAAAATAAAATTTTATAATACGTTTGCCATTTTATTTATTAAGTTTCCGATGATGGCGACGCTGCAAATTCAGACTTCATTTCTACTTCAGTCTTCTCGATTGTTTCCGGACACCGTTTATTATCGTTAACGTTCACGAAAGTTGGGTTTGCTAACGGGTTTTGCAACAGCTTCTCCCTTTCTTCGTCCGCGTTGTTCGCTGAGGCATCATCTACGAGAAAATAAATAATATATATTTATATTTTATATATATATATATATATATATATATATATATATATATAATATATAATAATATTAATTATTATATATTATTATATATTATTAATAATAATTATATATTATATATATTATTATATATTATTATAATTAATATTAATTATAATAATATTATTTGTAGAAAAATGAGAACGCTGTCCGCAGCTGTGGAATATTTTCCGTGGCCATTTGAATAATATTAACAAAGATAAACAGAGAAATGTACCGCTAAATATGCTAGAAATCTTCTCCTCTTCGTCGATGAAATGAAAATGTTTAATGTTCGCTAGACTCTGAATAATTTCGTACGTCTCCGGGTGTACGTTCAGAAACCATAGTCTTCTTTTCTCGACGTTCATGTTCTTCGATAATATCTCAATACCCTGCAAAAAAGTATCGATAAAGTGATTATTTTTAAAGATTACTTTTTTAATTCCAATGTTTAATGCGTACCTTGACGGACGTATAATCGAGGTACCGAACCTTCTCGCAATTCATAATGAAGGGCACATTATGTTGCTCGTATCTGTGAATGATTTCGTTGACTTTGTTGCAAAAGTAACTCACCGCGGGATACAGAATAGCGCTATCCGGTTGGAGCATCACGTAACTAGTTCCAGTCTGCGACTAGAAATAAAGAAATCACGTTGTATACAAAAATTACGAACTATCCAAATAATTACATTTATTTTTATAAGTAATATACATATAATAATTGTTTATATAGGAATTTATATGTACATATAGGAATTGTTCTAGAGATTGGTGCAGAAACTACAAAATCTCTTTTTCTTATTATTTCAACTATACTTGTTTAAAATATTATATTGAATCTTGTTCTATTTTCCAAACTCTCTCGAAAGCGCAGAAAATCTGCGATTCGTTTACGTCGATTAAAATAGTATCGGAACTCTACCTTTTACCTTGCATTCGATGACCTCGATTTCCGGTCTGGCAGACGGTCGGATCAGGTAAACTATATTAAATATGGCACCGATCAGCAGGCCAATCTCAACGCCGCAGATAGCGGAGACGAGGAACGTAACTACCGCAGCGATGGCATCCCTTTCTGCAACGAGAAGCGCACCGAAAATCTCATCGATTTCACTCGAGATCGTTCTTTTATTTCGTTCATAATTAAATCTAATTGATCCAGTCATATACATAATTCGCAAATTTGAGCTCGTGCTTATACAGGGTGTCCCAGGTTTTAATGTTCAAACTTTGTTAGTGTATTCTATGGCACAAAGTAAGAAAAAAATGTTATGTAAACATAGGTCATATAGAGCTTTATTAAGAAGTTATAACAAAAATTCAGAATAGGAATAATATAATCAACACTATTAATTATTATATTAATATATATATTATATTAATCAACTAGCACATGCCGTGTGTTTATGTAAGCTGTGTTTATTAATACATTTCGAAACGTATTAATAACCGTTGTTGACAATACATGATTGGCATCGATCGAAGATTCTTTTTTATTTTTTATTTTTTTTTTTAGTTGATTACTATTCCTATTCTGAATGTTTGTTATAACTTCTTAATAAAGCTCTATATGATCTATGTTTACATAACATTTTTTTCATACTTTGTGCCATAGAATATACTGACAAAGTTTGAACATTAAAACCTGGGACACTCTGTATATTCATTAGTACGATAATTTATTTGTCATTTGTTTATCAACGGAAGTACCTGTCTCTATATTGTTTACGTTTATCGAAATAAGATTTTTAGCAGGATTAGAGACAATTATATATTTCAATTGATTTTTTAGAGAAATAAGTATTTGAAATAGTTCTTAGGAGGAATATGTATGATTCCTGCAATGTTCCAAGTCGCGTTTTGCCGAGTTTGGTTTAACGGTGCAACAAACGCGATTGCGATTTAGAAAAATTATGCCACCTACTGCTTCCTCTCCATAGCAGCTTTATTATCTTCACATCAATGATGAACCAGACAGCTGTTATCAGCACAGCCGACAGCGTGGCTCGCGGAATATAATAAAAATGCGGCGTTAAGAAGCTCAGCGCTAACAACGACATGATTCCTGCAATAAATGAATCGTCGTATAAACAGAACTTTCCTCGAATTTAATGTCGTGTTAAATACAGTGGATCCTGTTTAGATACAGTGTTCATTGGTTTATCGTTCATTTGTCGTAGCCGGTATATTCTACTCTGATTATAGACAGCTTATTGTTCATCGTGATCGGTCTATTTTGAATTTATCGTAGCCAGTTTATTCATAATCATTAGACCGCGGATTTTTATGCAAAATAAAAATTGTCTTCGTCAACTACAAAATGCTGGGGAACTGCGTAGACATTTCTTTCGTCCTTTCTTTAATTATTTTATCGTTTTAAATATAATATTAGTTTAATATATTATATATAATAATATATATAATATATTATTATATTATTATATTATATATAATAATATATATAATATATTATTATATTAATATATTATATATTATATATTATATTTTAATATAATAGTGCAGCAGTGTTTTTAAATTCTTTAAATGTTTTCGCTGCTTTCAATTTCGTTCAGGCATTTTTATCATAAACGCATAAAATGAGCTGTTTAGAAAATTATAACCAGTCTATTCTTAATCAATTCGAAGATACAGTAATTTCTTCCAGAAATGTTCGGAGGTCGGAGTTGAAACCGACAGATTCGAGAATACTAAGTCGCGATTCACAGCACAGGGAAATTCACAGCAACCGGAAATTTGGCATTTCCGGGAAAAATTGCTGTATCACGTTTTCAATTTTCAGAATTCACCGATCAAATTATAGCAAATCTACGCTCGCTTAAGACGACTCTGTGGAATAATTGTCACCGAAAAATCTGATTTCTGAAAACATAAAAAAATCAGAAACGCTCTGAAGAGTAGCGATGATCGACTAAGGATTAGTCGATACGATTAACGATTAATAATTATTAATAATTATTAATAATTATAAAAATTTCCGGCAGAAATTACTGTACATCAATTGTTCGAACTTTTAATCAAATTTTCAATCTTCAACATAGCTTAGACCATGCTTAGATTCATTTGCTTCGTAAGACGGTCACTTTCACGAAATTAGGTTTGGCAGCGAAAATAGGGCCAGAGAAAATAATCATCGATTTATTCGGATCCACTGTGAACTGTTCATGAGAAGTGGAAATATTACCGACATATAGACCAGCCATAGTCGTTCGTACACCGCTCGCACTAATTACAGCGCTTCTTGTAAACGCCCCGGCAGCCGGCATGGACGAGAAGAAGCTGCCGAGTATGTTCGAGAAACCAAGTGTTAGCATCTCTTGTGTCGCACTTATGGTGTTGCCGCACGCTGGAAAATTCGGTCGAGTAATTTCGATTAAAACGTAGACATAGAAAACGCTTCGTAAGTTCTTCAAACATCCGTGAACGATGTTATCGATTATTATATATTGTTGTATTTATCGTTTAAAAATTACTTCTGGAGATCACTTCGTCTCTTGACTGTTTACACTTTGAATTGTTGTTGAAATATGTTAAAACTAGAATATCATTTTAAGCTAAAAACTGTTGCAGTAAATCTCAGTGTACTTATAAATTCTTCTAAATTAGCTGTGACACGCCCTTTGAAATTATTGCTAAAATTATAACAATTTTACATATACAATATAATATATCATAATATATTCTAATATATTATATAATAATAATAAAATATTATATATTATATATATATATATTATTTATTATTTTTATATATTACATATATTATATATTTATTATTTATTATTATTATTATATATATATATTGCAATTTTATAGTTCATTTATAATTACCATATGTAACAAATATATATTGTTTCTGTTCTTACAAAACGCTTTAGCGATGGCCACGTTCGCCAACACCGACACAAGCGGAAGCACGATCAACCCAGTTCCATAATGTTGGCACATGTCGACGAAAGTGTAAGTCTGATTGCCAACCTGCGCCGAAAATGGCGGCAGAGACAGCTTGGGAAGACCCGACACGATTTTCCCTTTAACAAAAATCAACGTTTTTTTCGAAACGTTTCACTAATATAAAATAGAAGTAATAGTTACTAAAATTAATACCAGTGGAAAGGTTTATTATTAAAAAGTTTAAGTAAATGGAATGAAATAAGGGGACGTTGTTGAGCCAGTCGAACGATATGTTTAAACATGGCTGCGCAATAAAGTAAGAAGTCGTTTTATTAAGTGGATGGGTATACCTGAGAGAATAAAGGGTGATCCTCCATTGTGCTCGTAGTAGAATGCTATAGTAGATGCTAAAAGGATCACCAAAGCATTGCGACATATCGAAAGGAACCATAACGTCTTCTTTACAAGCGCAGCTCTGTTAGTCCCGTTCTTTCGGACGCCATCTTTAGCGAGGCAACAGTCGAAGTCTTTTAGTTTCTGTGTGGACATCACCATTTATCTGAGTTAGCAACAAAATCTTGACTTAATCTTAACTGTTGT